AAGCATCTCCATATAACCTCCTCCCTGGGGGACAGACAACAGAAGAGTGGGTGAAGGGAGACGTCGGACAGTGTAAGATATGACAAAATAATAATAATTTATAAATTACCAAGGGCTCATGAGGGAGGGGGGAGCAGGAGGGAGAGGAAAAATGAGGAGCTGATACAAAGGGCTCAAGTAGAAAGCAAATGTGTTTTAAGAATGATGATGGCAACAAATGTACAAATGTGCTTGACACAATGGATGGATGGATGGATTGTGATAATAGGTGTATGAGCCCCCAATAAAATGATTTAAAAAAAAGAAAAAAATACATCCTATCAGATATTTACATGGCAATTCATAATAGTAGCAAAATTACACTTATGCGGTAGCAATGAAAATTAATTTATGGTTGGCGGGTCACCACAACGGGAGGCACTGTCGCGGCATGAGGAAGGTTGAGAACCACTGCTCTAGGACAAGCAGCACCGCCCCTGTGGTTTTCCGAGACTGTAACTCTTCCCGGAAGTAGAAAGCCTCCTTTTTCTCTTGAGCCGTGCCTGGGGGCCTCAATGTTCCCCTCCATTTTGAACTGCTAACCTTGCCGTTAACAATCCAAGATGTAACCATGGTGTCACCAGGACTCTTAGGACCTACCGGTACTGATCTAGAAAGATAGGGCATAAGGGAAATGCTAGGAGAAACACTTTGCAAAAGAAAAACTAGCACTGTGGACTGTGTGTGTGTGTGTGAGACTATCCACACTAGGAAAATGTCCCAAACAATACAGGCTCAATTGTTAAGAGTAGCCAGGTACTGTAGGGGGCCACTGGAGAAAACAGATTAGCTTTTTACCCCCCCCCCCAAAAAAAAAAGTAAGATAGATTATATGTAACTTTTTTGTGCTATTTTTTAAAATTAAAACAACAACGTATCAAAAGTTTCAGCCATTTGACTAAATAGAGAAATAAAGCAGACCCAGAAGCAGGCGGCTCCATGACGGATGACGCTGGCCTTTCCCCTTCCATGCTGAGATAGGGCAGTGAGGTCTCTGTGGGTTTTTTTGTTACCAGCCCTTTCTGAGCAGGCTCTGTTACCGGGAGAGACCAGCCCCTGGCCAAGGAACACGATGCTTAGTAAAGCAGCTCAGAGAAAAAGAGGAAGACTGTCAAGGAGATGGACTGACACGGGGGCTCCAGTGGGCTCAAAGATACCAGATGATTATGTGAGGAGCTTCGGAGAGATTCTGAAAGATGCATGTGCTTATGTGTGAGAGAGTGAAGTCCTCCAGGGTTCATCCCATCCATTAGAGCGCCTTCAAGATCCCTGCCTGCAGTAGCAGAGGCCACACCAGGCGGAGCAGAGGCCCCAGAGGCGCTGCAGTGGTGAGATCCCAGACCGTCCGCCTGAGAGGCAGAGCAGGGGGCAGGCGTCCCACGTGGCTGCAGCTCAGCAGCACTGCCGGTCTCTGTGTTGATCCATGACTGTCTCTGGATTGTTTTCTGATCCTGGCTTGTTACAACCTGTTCATAATCATCCTCATAATCAAACCCTAATAATAACAATACTAAAACAAACTCCCAGCCATCCAGTTTATTCCCACTCATGGCCACCCTACAGGCAGGGCAGAAGTGGCCCTGTGAGTTTCCCAAACAGGAGTAGAAAGCCTGCCCCATCTTTCTTCCACGGAGCAGCTGGTGATTTTGAAATGCCCACCCTGTGGTTAGCAGCCCGTTGTGTAACCACCAGAGCTCCTTCTAACGTCCCTATAGATGCCCCAGAACGTGCCGTATGGGAGTTCCCTGTGGCTTATAGACAGGATTATGGAGCCCAGCAGAGGTAGTGGGCGGAACGGCTGGTGTAGGAATAGGGTCAACAAAGATGACGGGGGCGGCGGAGGCCATGTCTTGATGTCTGACCTCTGCCTTGTGGCCATTGGCCTGGGGCTGCTGTGGAGATAAGATGCTGCTCTTTCTTCCTACTGAAGCCCGAGACCAAATGTGGCTGCATGCCGTTCCCTCGGTATCTCGTTTACTTTTTATCCTTACGATTTGTAGCAAGTGATTACTGGGGTAGAATTCCAATTCTGCTTCTACAATTGTTGTCACACTGAATAAAAAAACGCTGGACTATGATCTTGTGTGAAAATACAAATGAAACGCAGGACTGTCGGGTTGCGGTGGTAGATTTTTTTCCCCCGTGAGCTGGAACAAGCCTCACAGTGTATTAACGGTTCATACTCCACGGCCACCTTTCACTAAGGTGTCTTCTTCATTTGCGGCTCCACCTGCGCCCAGGTTGTCCAGCTCCTGCTCAGATGCCCTGACAGGACGAGTGGACGGTGGCCTTGCGTGGAGGGCCTGGTAAGCTGAGGGTTTAGTTCTCCTTCCTGAGGACCCTAAATGGCCTTTTCCCAACAGTCTCCGCTCCTGCAGGCAGAAACAGCTGCAGGATGGATGGCATCGCCCCCCCACCCCCATTTTGCAGCGATACAATTGGGGATGGGTGGGTTTTACATGATAAGTAATTTTTATCCATCCCCCAAACATCCAGGGGTCTGGCTGTGAACCAAATGGCTTCACTGATTTCCCCACTGTCCATCAGAGGACCCAAGCTTTTTAGAACGTTGAACTGGTTCAATCCTGACCCACCCCAGATCAGAATCAGAACCTACATTTTCACAAGATTTCCCAGGTGCCTCTTAGGCAGACATCTGTGGCTCTTATGAAAAGGTAGCTTCTGATTCAGGGGACCTGGGTGGAAAGCAAGGGGTTGAACCAGAATGATCAGGTTCCAAGCCCTGGATTTGAACCATCGTGGACCCAAAACTAGAATGTATAAGTAAGGATAGTGGCCTAGTAAATTGTCTTGAGTAGAAAGGCCAATCCTAAAATCCAGGCTTGTTTTACGTTATGCATGCATTTGCAGGTGCTGATATGTGAGTAGTTAGAACTATTAAAATACTGCATGTTGCATTACACGTATCCCCCTCGCTGTATGAGATCTAACCTACTTGTTAGCTACCACCTCAACCAAGATAGAGAATATTTAGCCTCATGTTAGTTTCCTCAAAACTCTATCAGTCTCCCCCCCAAGCCCCAGCCAATCACTAATCTCCCTTGGACTCTTCTAACATTTCATATAAATGAAATCATAAGTAGTCCACGTGTGTCTGGCTGCTTTCACTTAGCATGATGCTTCTGAGGTTCATTCATGATGTCTTGTGTATTTCATTGCTGAGAAGTATTCTACAGTATGGATCTATCTCAATTGTTGACCCATTCATCTGCTGGGGTCCATGTGCGCTATAGATACTGTCAGAGGCACTGCTATGAACATATACATACAAGTCTTTGCATGGCCATATAAGGGGGTGCTCAAAAAGTTTGTGGAAAAAATAGAATGAAAAGACACGAATTTATCAACAAAATTTTTGCACAAAGCATCTTTTTTTTTTTTTTTATGTGCTTGCTGGACATTCATATATCGTCTTTGGGGAAATAGCTGTTCAAATCTTTTTATCAATTTTAAAGAAAAAAGGGTTCTCTTATAACTTGTAAGAATTGTTTACATATTATGGATTTAAGTCCTTTGATACTTCGTTCTTTTGTAAGAGTATGTAGATCTTCATGCTGAACATGTGAGCCCTCTCTGTTCAGGATGCGAAGACATAGTTGGGAGGGGAGTGCTTATGCTCACGTCTTGCCACACTGGACAGTGCTGCCTCTGGCTCATGGTGGTATCATGGCTGTGTTTCGTAATAGGTTTATTAGCAAGAGTTCCATAAGACTAATCTCTGTCTTATTACCAGAGCTATTTCTACTGAGTCTGAAAGTTTTACTCCTCCTTTAGATTCTTATTTCAACAATACTAGGAACTTCTCTCAAACATTAGACGAAAGACCTACTGGAAGATTCTAGATCAGTCTGAGAAGAGCAGGCCTAGGTAAGGCCAGGGCGCTATAGAAGCTTGACTTCAGAGGACGGCGCTCCTAACTCGGGCAAAGAGAGGAACGCGTGCCTTCACGACTTTAAACCGTGATTTTCTAACTGGTCGATTATAGTATCCTGAGTGTCGCAGGACAGAAATGAGCTTCCTAGTGTTTTATGACGTCCCTCCACAAAACTCGCCGCGATCAGGTCGATTCTGACTCCTGGTAGCCCTCCTGCACGGGGAGAACTGCCCCGTGGGTTCAGAGACGGTAGCTCTTTATGGAAGTGGAAAGCCTCACCTGGCTCCCAGAGTGGTTTCAAACAACGGACCTTGTGGCTGGCAGCCCAACGTGTAACCCACTACACCACCTGGGCTCCTGGGATGCCCTAGTGCACTGGTATCACCACTTGCCCACTTGACGAAGCACAGCGCCCCCATGCTAGCTCGGGGAGGCACGCAGAGAACACATCTGGGGGAGGATGGAGGGAGAGGGGAGAAGGTGATACCAAGGGCTCAAGTAGAAAGAAAATGTTTGAAAATGATGATGGCAACATATGTACAAATGTGCTTGACAAATGGATGTACATATGGATTGTGATAAGAGCTATAAAAGCCCCCAATAAAATGATAAAAAATGATTTTTAAAAAGGCTTCAAAAGCTGTAACTGTGAGACCATGAATGAATTTGTATTAAATGCATAATAAGGATTCTACAATTCATTTACATTTCCTAAAAATACCATTCAGTTATTGCTTCCTGGTGCCGAGCACGTGCCAGCTGTGAGGAGGAAGCGCGAGGTCCTTCTGCAGCCCCTCGCCCTCCGGGAGCACTTCTCAATGGCCTGGCTGCATCCACCAGGAGGAGACGGAGGTCCCTGGTGCAGAAGTCAGCAGAGGGAGGTGGGGGTGCCATGCTGACTTCCTGGGAGCCTTCCTGGGGTTTTCACAACCGAGCCTGTCCCCTACAAGCAGTCTGCTGGCACCCTGCTGGGCTGTGACCCAAACAGAACTTCCCAAGGTGCCCCCACATCCTCCCACAGCACATGCTGGCCGGGTGCCGAGAATCGATGATACCTACACCGGAGCACCAGACAGGAGTCTTTACTTGATTCAACATGAAGCAGAAATGGAGGACACGGGGGTGGGGACTCGGGTGCCACACACAGGGCTCCATCCTCACAAAAAGGGCCCAATATTGATTTCCAGGGAGGAGCAGGGCATGGTCAGCTCAAACTTGGTGATGACGTCAGGATGGAGGACGCCGAGCCTCCCGACGCTCTGACCCCGGGCAAAGATCTCGGCACATCGCCCAGGGAAGAAGGCAGAGCCTGCAAAAGAGAGAGAGCACGATCAACTCGACGTTGCTCCTGCGGAGACATCAGCAGTCACCGGCTACCACAGACAGGCCGCCTGCGTGGACAGAAGTGAGTGTGTCCGCACACTTTCCAGGAGCAAGAGCGCTTGAGGACACGCCAGCGAACTCCGGCAAGGAAGCGAGGGCAGGAGGGAAGCAGGACCCTGCTCTTTTGTTGGAAGGGGTCCTGGTAGGCAGGAGGAAGGCAGGGCAAATGCCAGCGCAGAGCCGGGACAAATCCAGGGATCTGCCTGGAGTGAGCCGACTTGGAAACACACTCAGCCATCGGCAGAAGTGGCCTCACAGAGTCCATGGCAACAAGGGAACGGAAAGACAATGGAGGTCTGACAGGAACTGTATGGCCCCTCACACTTGCTGGCTAAGTCTGCGCTGCCTTCATTTCCTATGCCCAACCTCACTCCTCCAGATTCTCAGCAGGCCAGGGACCTGCCGTGGCTTCCCGCCGGCCGCAGTGGCAGAAGGCCCTGGAGGTCCTGGGAGCATCTGCTGGAAGCCCGAGCCCAGGTCAGCCCCACACCCAGAGCCAGGCACACGTTCTCCGAGCATGCAGGACGGGGTCATCGTTTTATATGCTTAAAGAGCTTAAAAAAAAAATGTTTTAAAGGGAGCAATAACAAAACCCCCAAGCCATCCGGGCCCACTCTCCATTCAAGAAATCTCCCGTGCCACTGGTGTTAATCAAGGTTCAATATTGTAGGGAAATTTTTTATTAAAAAAAAGCTGACTCATTTCTTGTACCATCAACTGGAAATGGGGATGAGGCCCATAGTGCTCGAGTAACCGCAAGGCCCCCTGCTGGTAGCAAACTCCAGTGCCTGCCTGCCCAGCTGGACCGCACCACCTCTGAGCAGCGTAATTATTGATGGAGAGCAAAGGGCTGAGTCCCACATAATGGCTCCAAGGTCTGCTGCAGAAACACAAGAAGAGGGGTGCAGACTGGTGGGGAGTGCGTGCCAATGCCCCAAGATGGATGGGATCTCCGGGTCCCTCAGAGCTCAAACCTGGGCTTTGTTTGGATAAAAGTCACACTTGGGAGTAAGGGGCAGGGAGTGCAGTCAGATCCAACGAGACAAAGAAAGCCCCCCAAACAGACTGATAATGCAGAGCCTTAGAAAAGGTCCCCAAATCACACCCACTGCCATAAAGGCGATTCTGACTCACAGTGACCCCATATATAGGGTTTCCAGGGCTCTCAATCTTGATGGAAGTAGTTTTAATGCTCTCCCACGGAGCAACTACTAGGTTTGAACCGCTGACCTTGTGGTTGGCAGCTCAACAGTTACACAAAGCGATGCCAGGGAATGTTACTAAAGACGGTAGTGATGGCATATGTAAGTTGGATCACAATGAAAGCCCATCTTAAACATTTAAGCAGCAGCAAAACAGTTTCCTCTGAAAAGAAATCTTCAATGTTGGATACAGAAGTTTCTGTGAGACAAGCTTCTGTAGTGTTTTATATAAGACACCAACCTTTGTGTAAGACATACATCTTGTCCGTTTTCGTGTAAGGCAAACCTCTGAAGCAAGACAGGGCTCACAGCCCCCTCACTAAGGAACTATGAGGGAACCAAGACGCCATTCAGGCCCCCGCCCCGCCCGAATGTGCCTGGGTTAGCTGCAGTCTCCTTGCAGACGGCCGTCACACTGGGAAAACTGCCAGGAAGGGTCCACTGAAATAGAGGCAGACCCTCAAAGGGACAGCCGGACACAATGGTTACAATAACATAAAGGATCGTGAGGGCGTCACAGGCCGAGCAGGATTTGCCTCTGTTGGACACAGGGCTGCTCCGAGCGGGAACTGATCTGGTGGCACCACGATGGTGCTGCTAACTGTGATGGTGGCACGTTCAAACCCCCCAGTTGCTCGGCAGCAGAGATGAGGCTGTCTGTTCCTGTAAAGATGTACAGCCCCGGAACCCACGTTCTACCATGTCCCACCAGGCTGTAGAGTCAGAATGGATCTGATGGCGGTGAGTTTGACAGCAACAGCTGGAGACACACCCTGCTTATAAAGGCCATTCAGAAAGTTACCATGGCCTGGCTTGATAACTGAGTTATACCGAAAAACCCTCGCTGCACCGAAACTTTTCCTTTCCCTTATCGTCAATTCCAATTGGGCTGGATTCATGTTTACTGACATATAAAACCAGACTGTTTTAGAATCTAAGCCAGATGTGCTCTATCTTGACAATGTTAACAAAATAAAGCCAACAAATAAAGCCTAAGAGATAAGAATATAGAAATTTTACCTTACAAAATAACTTTCTGAATCAGCAAGTTTTAGAAAAAGCTCAGGTTTGTATGCAAGATGATTCCTGTTGCACCTCTCTCCACAAGTCCAGATCAAGCTTTGCTTTGGCTCGTTAACAAGGGACACGGCAAAGCAAAAAATATATGTATCACTAAATATAATTTTTCCTCTTTGCAAAGAAAAGAGAAATTCGATGTTATGCTTTATTAAAACACACCCAAGCCCGAGTCTCTAAATTAAACCGCGTTGTTAAGAAATCCGGTTGGCACTGTTGTTCAGGCCCACTAGCCACTCCCCGTGAGAAAGTGGGTGGAAATCCTAGATAGGTTTGCTCCCATGAGGCAGAATCAATGACGGTGGCGGGTTGCCGCGGAGGCAGTTCCGACTCGGAATGGCCCGAGGTACACCAGAGCGAAGCACTGCATGGCCCTCTATCATCATCACAGTGTTTTGTTTGAGCCCATTGTTGCAGGCACTGCTATCGGCCCATCTTGTTTAGGGTCTGTCTTCCTCTTATTTGCTGCCCCTCTGGCCTTCTGCAGGGACTGGTCCCTCTTACTCACATGTCCAGCGTCTGTGAGAGGAAGTCTTGTCAGCCCTGCTTCTAAAGAGCATTCTGGCTGTACTTCTTCCAACAGGATTCATTCGTTCTTCTGGCAGTGCATGGGATAGCCAATCTTCTGCATCAACGCCATAATCCAAAGGCAGCCGCGCTTCTCCGCTCTTCCTTACTTGTTGTCCAGCTTTCACACGCACAGAGGTGACTGTGACTGCCAGGGCTTGGGTCAGAGACACCAGAGTCTGGAACACGGCAGAGACCGTGTGCAGTGCATGTGTGCAATGCACAGAGTGCTGGTTTCTGACGGCTGCTTTCATGGATGGCTTTTGGATCCAGGTAAAGTGGAATCCTTGACAACATCAATCCTCTCTTTATCACAGCGCTGTCTGTGGAGCCAGTCGGGGGATTTGTGCCTTCACCGCGAGGTGTCACCCATCCTGACGGCCCGGCGCTGGTCCTTCATCAGTGTGTGCTTCTGGGAAAGAGTCTGAGCGGCTCGCATTTTAGCGAGTTGTCAAGGGAGCCACCACAAGCTCCGCCCAGGGACTGCACTCCTTCCCACCCACATGGAAAAATTAAGCGCAATAATGGGATTTCTGATCTGCTAGAAACCACTTACTTTAAACCTGAAGTGAAATTTTTAATGTTTTTTGGGGATTATGATGGAAGTACTTGGCATGAATTTTGTCCTAACTCCTCTTCTAAGAGCCAGGTTAACCTTCTAGTCTCCACAGACACAAAGGGGGAGATGCTTGGAAGGTGCAAACTCAGCTTCACGGGTAGAAGTGACGTGCTTCAGAGCAGGGCAGAAAGAGCAATGGCTTCCCTAACAGAACACGCCCCACCCACCAAGCAGCAGTTCGGTCTGAATTGAGAGGGGAGAGCGCTTCCGCCACCAGCAAAGGGAGGGGCGCTCCACCCTCTAACTCGACAGATCGGAGCCACCACACTGCCGGAACGAGAAGCTCTGAACTGGCGGTCTGTCCAGAAGGAAGGGACACCACATCTGAATGGAACGTAAGCACAGATAGCAGCTTATGAAGAATCAGACCTGCAGGATAGCCAAAGGCCACTCAAGCACAAGAGCAAACATAGAAAAACGTGCTGGAAACCAGCCCCTGGAGGCCCTGGTGCCAGTTATTGTAAAGCCTTCAGCGGCTACTCGAGTCCAGTGGTGAGGCCGCCAGCTGCTCTGCCGAAGAGGTGGCAGCAGTTCCACTGGGTCCCGTGGGTCACGAGGAGTCGGAATTGGCCCGATGACAGTGGGCTGGGTTTTGGCCAAACAGCAGCTGACTGTCTAGAAAGGTCAAATTGCCAATCCAAGAAAAACCATGTTGCCTTGTACGTGGGAATTCTAAAATTCAAATTCTACAGTCAAATGAAGACGCATTTCTTTCAGTTATCTGTTTAGGCCGGGTGCAAGCGTGGCACTTTTCAACCTGTGCTCAGAACACTCCTGGGCCCGAGGGCCTGGCAGCTCCTCCCAGCTCCGGCCCCTGCTCACGCTGCCTGCTTAAAAGCAGAGAGGGAGAACGCTCTTCTCTGTTGAAATATGTGTGGAAGACCGGACAAAAGAAACAGCAGTTAGGCACAAATAAGAATTTAATTTCCCAAGCGTAGTGGGGTGTAAGTAAGCCCCTTAATGAAAGCCTTTGCAGCCTCTCCTCCCGGCTGTAATTGCCTGTCTGTGCTCCAGCAGCGGCGGCAGGGCCACTTTGAGGACCTTGGGGGTAATTCTTGGGCCCGCATCCAGCTCGCACCTAGTCTTTAGCACATTTTCTGGCTAATTGACCTTCAAAGCGATTGGGAGCTCCTTCTCTTGCTCGTTGCCAAACACCTTTCACTGTTTCTTTTTGCCTGTCTTTCTTTTAGAGTAATCTTATAGGCCTGGAGTTGGGAGCGGCTTTACACATAAGAGTCATTCCTGTAATTTTATGAAGCTTCGGAAGTAGAAGCTTAAGGGAGGTAACTGAGCAGACCCCTGAGCCGAGAGGATCAGACAGTGTCACCCAGCATGCTCACAGCTCATAACCCGAACACATGCCCCCTACCAGCCCCGCTCCCCCGCATGAGCTGCTTGTTGATTCGATACTTTCTTTGGCCCATCTCTAAAAATCAACTGCTCAAAACATTTTGTCCCCAT